ACTCAGACAGACCCAACACAATTACTCTTAGAAATTAGTTAAAACATAGAGAAATATATAATAATTTTGTTTCCTTTCTCCTAACATTCTGTCTCTTTGTGACAGTTTATAGTTAACATCTTACAAACATTACACAGGGCTTTTTATATAAATTTCATTCAAATTCTGTACTGTTGATTATTTTAACCCATTGTCATTCACTTAAATCCACATCATAGCAATGCATAGAATTTCTGAAATTGGTACTTTGTGAAATAGGCTATGGTGTTTTCTTAGGAAAGATAACATTTTATACCAAGACCTGACTTTCAATAGAAATTGGAAATCATTGTTGTCAAAGAAGTTTTCCTGATTTTCTGCAACAATTTATTTCTGAATTTATATCAGTGTTTAGCGCTTATATTTTGGGAACTGGACTGCAATGTTCCACCATTGTTAAATATAGAGCTACTCAATTGTTATAGGAGGAAACAAAACAAAACAAACCCAGCAGCAACAACAAAAAAGCATTGTTTTGTATATACCTGTTCTTAAAGAAACAGATGACCAGTACTTCAAATCTCAGTAGTTTCTTGGAGTTATAACGTCATATATATATTTCTTTTCTGTGCGTTTATTATACCATGTATTCCATGTGTATGAGTAAACTTTACAGTGACCAAAAAGAACACTTTACATTCTTAACATATTATACATTCTGGGATAATGATAAACATTTTTATGGAGGCAAATAATGCAGTAAGTGGCTTGAAAATTGGCAGAGAGAAAATAAGTTATGAAATTATATATATATATATATATATATATATATAAAGTTATGAAATTACAAATAAAACAGAGAGGGAAAAAAAAAAAAAGCTCACTCTGTGTGTGTGTGTGCCATTCTTGTGTCAAGCGTTGAGTTACAAGAAGCCATGGTTTTCAGTCTGTGGTCTTCCCAGTTATCATATTGCAGTGTGAAGCAGTATGACTCTGCCTTTTATTCTGTTGTTGTAGGGGTCCCTTGTGACAGTTCTTCTCTGGGTAAGGATTAATGTGGGGACTGTACCCACTTCTCAAATGATGAGCATGCCAGCTATTGAACTCTTATATCTGATGAAAACAGTATAAGAGTAATGCACCGAAAGTATATTGTTGGATGATATAAGTGCAACAGTCCAATAGATAGAGAAGAGAAAAGATTAATTTTAGTCAGGTCGTGTTTTGTCTGTATTGCTACACAGTGAAATTATAAAAAGAGAGAAAAGTTAACTTCTCAGTACTGCAATGGGAGAATGTTCAGGCAATTTAAGCAGTATTCTTCATTTACTCAATCTTTGAATGCAGGATGAGTCAAGCAATCAATGTGTTTGGAAAGAACATACCTCTTTGCACAAAATCTAAATGAATGACACATTTCAGATGCTTGAAATAAGATGAGATGGGCAAAACTTACCAAGCTGTGATTCTATAGGCTTTTTTTGAAGGCAATGTTAAACTATTTTTAGAACTAAATCATTTGTTGTAGCATAATAAAAAAAAGGTGTACAAAGGTAGCACAATCCAAAGTAAAGAAGACTTTTTTAAAGTAATACAAGTAATGCCTTTGTCTTCAAGGAACATAAGGACTTCACTGGACTGGAACATTGGTTTGGTTCTTCCAGCATTACTCTAAGGCTTATCAAATACAACAGTGTTAACAAGATAACATTTTTTTTTTCTTTACAATTCACTTTTTTTTTTTTTTTTTTTTTTTTTTTTTTTTGTCATCAGTAAGTAAGATTTCACTTATCTTGAGCTCTCTAAAAGTTATGTATGTTTTCTAATGGGAGCAACTGTTCATCTAAAGTAAAACAATGGTGCTTGTGAAACCTTGATATCTTTATCTTAAAATTCTCCCTCTCAAATACAGAAGGTCTCTATTTGCATGTTATCTGACACTTTCCCAGGTAATTAAATGACCATTCATTATGTTTTATTATTTTTCCCTATTTAACTGGTGTCAGAACTGATGTAACCAAGAAGAAAACTAATTTGAAGAAGTCACAGCTTTTTGTTAAACCATCTGAAGTTCCTGATTCAATTAGATTGTCTTTTGCTAGCTTATTTAACAGAGATATTACAGCTAGAAAAGATCCATTAGATAGTGTACATGTTTCAGTATTTTCTTACATTAATCCACAGTACACTTGGTGTAGTCCTTAATACCCCATCCCCTCTCCCCCCCATGTTGTTCACACAAGATAATTATTAATATATATATTTATTTTTCAAATGAGAAAATGAAGATGCTCCGTGACATAAATATTTGATAAATTACACTTAGGTTTTGACTAATTAAAATCTAGTGTCAATATGGCTTCTAGTGCCTACAAGTAATAGCAAACAAAGCTCAAAGCTCAAAGTACATGAAGTGGAACTTAAGTTATGGCCTCACAACCATGAGTAGGCCTCACAAATTAGTGCTTGTTGTCATATTTGGAGCTTCATTACTATATTTGCAGGCTTTTTTATCTAGACGTTTGTCTAGATAACACCTGTTAGGCAGAGAAATGCTGGTTTAATCCTATTTAAATAATAAGAAGTAAATGAGCAAGAACAACATGAGTAGCAAAAGTTCATATTAGAAGCTTCTTAGGGTGAAGAAGAGTATAATTCTGTTCGCTCTTATGCTTGTGCCCTGATTAAATTTTTTTGTATCTTTCAGTTATGTTCAAAGGATGACTCGGCTGAGAAGGAAGTTCAAGTCTTCAGTCCAACCTCCTTCTCACAACATGGCCAACTTTGAGGTCAGACCTGTTTGCTCAAGGATAGGTCTTGAAAGCCTCCAAGGACAGAGACCTCACAGCCCCTCTGGGCAACACTGTCCTCAGGGAGAAAAAGGTTTTGCTTTATATCCTTTATATCCAGCCTGAACAACTCTTGTCTCAGTGTATGCCCATTGTCCCTCTTCCTCCCACCATGCACAGATGTGAAGAGCTTGGTTCCATCTCCTCAGTAACCCCACTGCAGGCCCTGGGGGACTGCTGTTAGGTGCCTCTAAAGACATCCCTGCTTCAGAGTGAACCAGCCCTCAGCCTCTTCACACAGGGCAAGTGTTCAAGTCCCGCACTGTCCTGGGGTCCTCTGCTAATCTCATGTCATTTTAACAATACTGTTATTGCATTAGTAACCCAAAACCAGATACTCGTCATTTACCAAAACATCTAGGTCCTTTCCTGCAGAGCTTCTTCCCAGTTAATCTTTCCCCAGCCTGTATTGTAGCAGGGGGCTGTTCCTTCCCTGCTACAGAATTTGACCCGAGGGAAGAACTCTGTGCTTATTGAATGTTATGAGGTCCCTGTTGCTCGTTCCTTTAGCCTGCCTAGCAGACCTGGAGGTTGCAATAGCAGACTTGTCATATAATATATAAACATCACAGCAATTATCTTTATTACAGGCCCATATCTGTCCAGTCAGGCTGAAGATGGATTTATGTTTCCTGTGTGCATAATTTTCGGGTTTCATGAAAAGTGAGTAAAGGTGATTCTCTGATTTGGAGAATTGTCAAATTTCTCTCTGCTAGTGTTGTTATTTCCTTTCCCTTGATAAAGATCTTCCTTCTTAGTTGTATTAAGACTTTAATTTATTTTTTCTTTATCCTTAGATTCCTTCTATGGGGTGACAGAATGGAAGCTGAAGGACATATGCCAGACACCAGTATTAAGAAGTTGCGGACTTTTTGAAATAAACAACTTTCTTCTAGCTCTTTTGGGCCAACATATGAGGATTGCAAAGCTGTAATTAGGACATGACTTCAAATTTCACCTCAATTACTGTTTGGTGACATTTCTTTCTCTCTTGTATATTTACAGAAATTATAAAACCTTAGTTCAACAAAAATCTTTTGTTCCCTTCCACACACACCCCAGCTAAGGGAGGGTCATGCTTGTAATTCTTACTTCATGCTTTAAACTCAGAGGTTAAAATATGATGTTTAAATGGTGACAGAGAAGTCTCAATGAAGAAATTGGGGTCTTTGACCTCAATCTCTGCTGTTTCGGGCAGCGGGGGTGGGGGATCATTCTGTGTTTGCTAGCTGAGCCACAGTAACCTGCACCTGACAATTTAACCTATTGGGTTTTAAGCATTTTCAGATCAGATCAAAAGCATCAAAGTCTGTGTAAATAATGCATTACAGTAATTTTTTTCTCATTTTAAACTAATACCAGAAAAACAACTACTTAATTACAAAAATAATATATTGCTGGCAGTGATGTCTAATATATATTTTAATAATATATATTAGATATATACCACCTCCTAGATAAGTCTCCTTGTATTAGATTTGGGTTTAGCTTGTGTGTGGTCATAGGAGACTGGGCAGAGCACTGACTGTTATCAGAGGAGTACACATGCATAAGACGAGATGAAGTAAGAAAATGATTACATGAAAGTCACGTGTAAAGTAACAATAAATATTGTCTGGAAAACTATTTGAAATACCATTAAAAGCATGGAAAGGTTTGGGTTTTTTTAATACTGTTGTTCAGCAAAAATTCTCTTCTGAAGTGTAAATTGTGGAAACATTGAAATAAATGTATAGCTAAGACAATAGTTACACATGTATAGTTATATATGATACCTGCCTGATTTTGCAACCTGACTAGATAAGTTTTCCATTGGGAAAAGAGGGAGGAGGTAGGAACACATTAATAGACAGCTTTGCCTTTTAATACATTGAAATATATTGAAATACATACTATTGTGTCAGTGATATGTTTTATATATTTATTTATTTTTAGGGAAAAATAAGTGTTAATTTAAAGATGCTTACTTATTTCAGAAAATAGCTTCAATGTTTTCTGAATTGTCGGTTTAAAAGAGATTTCCTTTACAAGCCTTTATGACATGCTTATAAAATCAGGTTTGGATGATGAGTTAGACAAACAGTAGCTCCCACAGCAAATAAAGGACTTGTTGGAGTTCTTTTGCTGTTCCTCAGTGAAAAGCAAATGAAAATCTGTAAAAAAAGATGAAGCTGATTGTTCTTACGTAGTTTTTCTCAGTAAGGTCAGAATTAAATATTTAGGGTGACACAATAAAAAGTTAATTTTGATTACTACTAAATGATCATTAAATACTAATGGGACTTCTCCAGAAAGAAATGGGAGACCTGGTTACTTGGGATATGGAGAAGGCTGAGGTACTCAGTGACTTTTATACCTCAGTCTTCACCAACAAGAGCTCTAGCCACACAGCCCAAGTCTGAGAAAACAAACTGGGACTGGGACTGGGACTGGAAGAATGATGAACTGTAGATCAGGTTTGAGCCCAGCTAAGGCACCTAAAGGTGCACAAGTCCATTGAACCTGATGAGGTACATCTGCAGGTCCTGAGGAAACTGGTAGATGAAGTTGCTAAGTCACTATCTCTTGCAATAGAGAAATCATGTCAATCCAGTGAAGTCTCAACTAACTGGAAGAGGGGAAACATAACCCCATTTTTAAAAGGGGAAAAAACAAGACCCAGAGAACGACAGGCCAGTCTCAACTCTGTGGCTGGCCAGATCATGAAGCAGATCCTCTGGGAAACTGTGCTAAGGCACATGGAAAATAAGGAGGTGATTGGTGACAGACAGCCTTCACTGAGTGCATATTGTGCCTGACAAATCTGGTAGCCTTCTGTGACTTAGAGCATTGATGGAAAGGGGAAGAGCAACTGACAACATCTACTTGGACGTATGGAAACATTTCATGCTGTTGCCCATGACATGCTTCTCTCTAAATTGGAGAGGTATGGGTTTGATAAATGGACTTCTTGGTGAGCAAGGTATTGGCTGGATGGTCGCAGTCAAAGTGTTGTGATCAACAGACTATAATGTCCAAGCAGACAACAGTGGTGTTCCTCAGGAGCTGGTATCAGGAACAGTACCGTTTAACATCTTGTTGGTGACACGAACAGTGGGATCAAGCGCATCCTTAGGAAATTTGCTGATGATACCAAGCTGTGTGGTGTGGTCAACATGCTGGAGGGAAGGGATGCTTTCCAGAGGGACCTTGACAGGTTTGAGAGGCGGGCCTGTGTGAACCTCATGAAATTGAGCAAGGCCAAGTGCAAGAGCAGCTCTGATGAGGACTTAGGGGTTTTGATTGACAAGAAGCTCAACATGAACTGGCAATGTGCAACACAGAAAGCTATCCTTGGCTGCATCAGAAGAAGTAAGGTCAGCAGGTCAAGGGTGATGATTCTACTCCTCTACTTTGCTCTCGTGAGACCTCACCTGGAGTACTGTGGTGAGACACTCAAACAGAGAAGCTGTGGATGCCCCTTCCATGGAAGAGTTCAAGGCCAGGTGGGATGGGGCTTTGAGCAACCTGGTACAGTGGAAGGTGTCTCTACCTATGGCATGGGGATTGGAATTAGATGATCTTTAAGGTCCCTTCCAACCTAAATCATTCTATGACTCTATGATTCTAAACCGTGCTTCAAGTCTTTCTGTGGCTTCAATTTAGTATTTTTGTGTATATATATCACAGAATCACAGAATCACAGAACTTCAAGGTTGGAAGAGACCTCAAGATCATTGAGTCCAACCTCTGACCTAACAGTAACAGTCCCTACTAAACCATATTCCTAAACTCTACATCTAAACGTCTTTTAAAGACCTCCAGGGATGGTGACTGCACCACTTCCCTGGGCAGCCTGTTCCAAACAGACCTTTCCTGAATAATAAAGTTAAGGGAACATAGCACTTAGCAACAACTGCAATAGAAGCAATCAGGGATTGATGTTCCGCATACAAGTTTCTCGAGCTGTAGGTTCATAGTGATAGTCTATATTTTCTCTAAAGTACACTAAGATATCATGGCTGCAAAGGTAAAAAGGGATTAGGGCATTTGGAGATATTTCTGGGTGTGCCTGATTCCAATAGTCTTTTGTGAACAGCATTTTATTTTTCCTGTGCTTTGACAGCTTTGTTCCTGCTCTCTATAGAACCCAGAAGGTTATTTTTGTTTTTGTTTTGTTTTGTTTTCCCCAGCACATATTCAGTTTTGCAGCTGAAGATTTCTGTCACAAGTCTCCTTATAATCAATCTGATCTACTTACTTTTTATTTCCAACAGTTCATAAATGTTTTCTGAAGAGCTTAGAGTCTTCTAGACAGGGACGCAGTAGTTTATGAGACAAGAAAGAATAGCTGGGAATTATTGGGGGAGGACACCTTAAGAAAGTTCTGTCACTGAAGTACTGGCAAAGTAAAAACCGTAGCCAAAAAGTTTCTTTGTTTGTTTGTTAGTTAGTTTGTTTTTTCCACTAGTACAACTGTTGATTATATAGGATATGTTAATATTTTTCATTCTGGTTCCAAATTAAAACTTGTTATAAATATGAAAGTATTATGAGTCTTATTCATCATTCTAATGCCTTAAAAAATATATCATCACTGTTCTGTTTGTCTCCTTATCTTATATAAACAAGTTCTTTTGAACTTTCAGTGTCCTTGTGCTGTCTTGAAAATAAAGCTTTAGGAGTTTTTATCGTAAAAAAAATATATAAAAAAAATCTAAAAGCAGTTTATGAGATTTTTTTAAGTTACTTTGCTAGCTTCAAGCATAATTAGCAAGTAATCTACGTGAACACATACTTATTTTGCTCAAAAAGTCATTAATAATGCAGACCCATATTCTGCAAGGTTATGCATAGGACTTGCAAAATGTGGTATCATGGGTTTTATTTAACAAATGAAAATAGAGAGAAGGGTCACAGTTCAAATCCAGTTAGACAAATATTAATATGATCAGCATTTGTTTTAATGTAATTTTTTCTCACTGAAGGGACAAGTAGAAAGGACAGTGTAAACAAGAACAGGATAAAGCTGAAGAATAAAATAGGCAGTGTAACATTTCAAAAGAAAAGTACACGTGAGAGAAGTACACGAGAGAAGGGAAGCATTGAAAATGAAGTTGGAGAACATAAAAAAAAAAAAAAAGATGTGAGAAGGAGAAAAGGAAACAGGAAAGGGAAAAGGAATGGTAACAAAGGAGAAAGTGTCTAAAATAAAGATGGAATAGTTGAAAAAGGGTGGAAGGGGTGAAAGAAACATTGGTAAATATAAGAATTATCAAAGAAATATCAAGAAAAGGAGATGTATGAAATCATGTCATTTTTTTCCATTCAAAATTTTATGCAATTACAAAATTCTCATTGTTGTTTTTCAACTGTTTCCATTTCCCAGGAGTATTTATCAGTTCTGCCATGGTTCATCTAATTGATCATGTTAGTCACTGAGAGTGTTAGAAGGTATTATATAATGTTATCTTCCCATTGCTAATAAAATAAAATAAAATAAAATAAAATAAAATAAAATAAAATAAAATAAAATAAAATAAAATAAAATACTAAATCTATCCTTTATCACAGGCAATAAAATAGGAGATATAAGGCTGCTCCATGCAGGAGACAGTTCAAGATATATATTTCAAATTCACAATTCCACATTTCAGAGCTGATCTTTGGCTGGAATTTTTGTTAGCTCTTCTATTAGAGAATAGAAATAAGAGTGCAATTTGAAACTTGGTACCCTGGGGCTGGCATAGAAGAGATGGATTTGATTTATCATTTTCTACTGTTAGCATAGTTTACCTTTGAATAAATAGAATTTTTTCAAATTTCAAAAATTCAATTAAATAAATTGAATACAAGAGGGAAAGGAATCTGAGATGTAAAGATTAGAGTATTACCAGTATTATATCAATCTGCTTTGGCAGGGGGCTTGGACTCGATGATCTTTCAAGGTCCCTTCCAACCCCTTCAATTCCATGATACTGTGATTCTGTGCTCTCTGAGTAGCTGCATATCTAATTTTTTGAGTATTTCAAAGCTTTGTTTAGAAAAATGAAGGACAATGACCTCTATTTAAATATCTATTTATATTTTAGTACTGTTTACAAAATCTTTAGTGTTTACAAAGTGAGAATACTGATGCAAGATTTTTTTTTGGTGGCTTCTTTTTATGTATATTTGTAGGATGAATGATAATTTTTACATATTAGGAGTAAATAGGTAAAAACAAACAAACGAACAATCAAATGAAAACAGTAAGACCCTGAGAAAAAGATCAATGAAGTCAAGAGTTCCCTGTAGACATCTTTTCTTTGACCAAGTGTACTATCTGAACAAGTAGTGAACACTGACAGCTCTATACAGAGTAACTGGTGCACTGGCTGTATTATATAGCAAGTTCCCTCAAAGACTGGCAGAGATGATTATTTGATCCACCTATGTAAGCTGAACAGAATGTTATGCACTCATTCCATATTCCATGAGACATCATACTGATATGTAATTTGTTTTTCACATGTTCCTCTTTGACAACAGAAATTCAGAAAGGACATTTTTGGCTCTACAAAATTGCTCTAGTGAGTTGCACAAGAATCACTATTGTTACAGAAGCTATATTTGGAGTCGACATTATACATATTTTATTAACCATTTAGAGCCTTGCAAAACTGTTTATCAATATTACCAATTATTGACAAAATTGGTTGTGATCATCAGGTAAGAGCATCCAATGTGTTGATTTGGAAATCCTTTTTGAATAAATACCATCCATTATCCAAAGAAACAGCACTTGAATAAAATGAAACCAAGGTTATTATTTCCAAATATATTCAACTTTGCAGATTATATTCTGTTGCATTTTGGAGACTAGGTGAAAAGGAAACATTTGACTATCTCAAGGATTTATTAGTGAATTACTACTAGATTATGATAGATTTGATTATAGAGGAGGCTGATAAAAGCTGTGACTTGAAGTTTTAGGTCTCTACTCAAAATGAGATAGGAAGAGGCTTTAAATCAGTTACAGAAGTGTGGCATTGTTGCAGAAAAAATAGAAGATGGAAACAGGGAATGGAAAAAGCACTGATTAGCTAGGATCATGTTAAGATGTTAAGAAATATGTATGTATATATATATAGATGAGATGATGCTTTATCTAAAGAAGAAATGAAGCTGACAATTTGAAAAGTCCCTTCCAGTCTTATGTTCTTGTTTTGTCAACAGCTTCATACTGGGCTCTCCTACTATTTATTTCATTACTAAACGATTGTTACCATCATTAACTCTGAAAGATCATTTTCCTACATTTCTTGCATCTATTTTATAAGCAAAACTAGTATGTTATTTAAGTATAGTCCAGCACCATAATTCTGTCTGCTTTTGAAGGTATGTTTTAAATTAAAACTCCCTTTTCTTAAATCCTGCATTGTCAAATATGAACCGTCTCTGTTAATCCCATCTTTCAAATTTTGTTACATGTCATTCTCCTTTTACAAAGAGGTTCAGACTTCCCAATAATATGGTAAATATGAATGTTAAAACCAATTTCATTTAAAATAACTTAATTTTCTGTCTTCACTTTCATGATGTTGGGAGTATATTTCAAATCTCACTGAGGAAATCAGCATTTGTCTATTTCATGACATTTTAAAAATTATAATTGTTCTTCTTGCTAATTCATTTTCTGAAAACCTTGCTATGTATGTACAGTCTTAAAAATCATAGGCATTTTTATGCATTATTTCATTTAAGCATTCATATGGGGATTATTGAATGTAGTGCAACACATCAGTTTGTGTCTATTGCAAGTTCTAGCAATGTGTCTGGAATGAGTTAAATAAATCTATTATACTGGGTGGAACATTCAGAAATTGTATGCTTCAAATTTTATTTTACACTGCAAATTAAACTCAGCAGTTAATATTTTTGTAGTAGATAATTTCTGAATGCAAATTCAGGAACAACAACTGTTGTTCCTTATTAGTGTCACTTTAAAATACAGAGAGTCCACTAAATATTGCCTATTCCCAATCAAAAGTCAATCTTACTCTATTTTTATTTTTTAATTCTTGACCCACACCTGTAATTCCATTATTCTCCTTACATTAAATGTCCCTCTTATCTAATATCACTCACATAAAATTCCCTAAGACTTTCCTTCTAATTTAAATATGCTAGTAGTCAGTAATAGCATTTAAGGAATAAACTTTATGATTTCTATAACATGAATTGTTAACTACGCATATTCATTCACTCCCTGTGAGATTTGTTTTGTAGAGACATAGGTGGTTGAAATTTATAAGAGAAATATTTAAAAGAGAAATATTTAAAAGAGAAATAAATACCTTCCTACAGACTGTTCTTCTATAACAGGCGAAAAAGAACATCTTAAATGGTTAGTACTGAAGGTTATCAGATCAATATCACTATATTCAAACACTCCAGAGGACTGCAGGCAGGGGGGTCTTCTCCTGCACGGGTAGAATACATCAGGAAGTCCCATTTGTTCACACAGCTAAAGCAGACATTTACTGGACAGAAAGCAAAGAGAGAACAAAGTGATCAAAGAAACAAACTGGATAGCTAAAGGCATAAAAATACTGAGGGAAAAGGGTGGATTCTCAAGGCAGGCAGCCCAGCACAGCTCACAACATTGGCTTAAGGCAATTGACATTATCTGGACCCCAAATTAGATGACAAGGAGAGGAAAGCAATTTCCAGATTTAAAGAGAAAAAATCTTTAATTAGATGCTAATTAATCTGCAGTTCTTCTCTATGAGGGTTAAAATCATATGCGTTAATGTATTTCATTGTTGATCATATTTGATGCTGCTTATGTGGCTCTAATGTTATTTTTTTTCCCTTAGACAAGGCAGCAACAAGGTTTGTTCAAGAAAAAAATATTTTTGTCTCATAAGAAAATTGTTCTGCTATCCCAATGGCTATTACTGACTACTAGCATATTTAATTTAGAAGGAAAGTCTCAGAGTCTTCTCATTAACTACTATCAACTTAAAATACTAACATATGTATATATATATATGCAATGAAGGTGTTATGTTAGCTATATTATGAAACTAGAATCTCTTTCTCGTTATGAATTTGGTGCTTTCAATCTGGAAGCCCTGATATTATTTTGGAGAGGGTGAAGCAAGCCAATTGCATTAAGAAAGGAATATTTATCTTCCTTGCTCAATCAATTTTGCTTAAGCATCAGCAAAAAATAGAATTGTTCAGTGTACAATGAATATTTGATAGGCAGTTCTACTTTTACTGAGCCCTAAGTGGAAATGAACTAGTGAGGAAGAAAATTATCAGATTTTACATATCTAAATTATATCATCTAAGTGCCCCTTTCTGCACAAGCCATTTGATTCTAGGTTCAAAAAAAGAAAGTTAATGAGCTTGAGTACTCTCTGAAACTTGTGAACATTAAGGAAAAATCTTGAGTTTATTTCCAGAATTTCACAGTCATTTGCTCCTTTCTTTCCAACACAACTACATTGGCATTAGCAACTCTTTTCTTTCCTTTTTTTTTTTTTTTTTAATGAACTAAAAGTTAATAATAAAACTTAGTTAATATGCAGAGACTGCCATATTACTGCCTAATGCTGTATTAGGATTTGAGCAAACCTCTATAGTCTCTACTGAAATAGATGAAGAATAGGAAACTTTTATTCTGTGTGTTTGAAAACATCACTCCCTGAGATGCCACAAACTGTGCTATGCTTTTCCAAAATTAAAACTGCTGGCTTTGTTAGCACAAATCTTTTTCCAAGGACATTTCTATGCTAAAATTCCTTTGCAGAAATATATAGTAAGAATCTTTATGTCAATAACCAGACACAAAACACAGGGCAGTATCATATCAAAGCAAGTGGATCATTAACCAGAAATATAGAAAACCTGATATGTTCTTTAATTATAATAATAGTATTTTTTTCTAACTGCACATAAACTCAAATGAATTCTTCACACAAACTCAAATAAATACTTACACTCTATAATGCAACCAAACAAAATGACACTAAATATAGATTTATATCAGGACAAAGTTTATCAATATTGTCTCACCACCACATAATATTATTTTAACAAATCAACTCAAATATTTGAGTTGGTGCTTTCCCTCTTCATTTCTTCTTTCTTCCTTCAGTTTAATTGTATTAAAAACACTTCCAGTATGACTTGGAAACAAGTGAGAAACAGCAGAGTATAAGCCTTTTGCCAAGACAGGGGAGGAGACAGCACAGTACCTGTACCCAGACTGCTTTCTGCACTGCTCATTGAGTAGCCACATGCCTGCTGTCTTCCTTGAGTGTTTACGGTGCCACAGCCTTTTTTTTTTTTTTTTTTTTCCCAAGGAGACTTCTAGCTTTTCAGAGTAGGAACCCTCACAGATGCTCCTGTTAACAGTGAGAAAATACAGAGTAAGCGCTTGTTAGAGGGAACCTGAAATGGACAGCCCAAACATACAGGGAATGGAAAATGCATGGAATGTAAGAGTCACAGCACTAAGAGGCAGAAATATTTTGGAGAATGTGCAACCTTGCTAGGAGCCTGACTCTCCAGTTCCACATCTGTAGCTACCAGGGTTGTCATAAAACCTGACAACTGGCCTCTCTACTGCAGGGTACCCAACAACTGAGACTATGAGACCACTTAGAATAGCTTAGTGATAGAAGGAAAAAATAACATCTATCCAATGGCTACTGAAATGAATGCTCCATCACACAGTTGTCCTAGCCCATCAGTTCCATATTTCTTCTCTACCCTATAGAAAGGGTTGCAACATATTATTCATCCTCTGTTTTGAAGATGATGGGATGAAAACTTAAATGAAATCTGAGAAATTATTTCATTCTTCTTTCAACATTTGTAAAATACTAAAGGATATGATTTTACTGTTAACAGGAGACTTGTCTGTAAATAATCAATGTCATGAGGTAAGAGTGACTTTCTTCATATAAATAAATCATTCTCAAAATAGATAATAGATAATGTAATTACATCTCTGCATTCTGCAAAAGAAGGTAAACAATCGTGGGTAGATCATTGCAGAATCAACAGGAACATGTAGGAATTATATATGCTACAACATATATGCATATATATGTATAATATGTATAATAATATATGTGTAATGTATAATAACATAATAATGTATAATAATATATATGTAACATATGTAGCATATATATATGCTACAACAATATATGCTACATATAATATACTACTAGAAATGGTGGTGCAAGATAATATTACCCTCTAGAAGGAAGTTACTTCTGCTCAGCTGAGATGTTTTAATTAAATATGTTCTTATTAGTGTTTCAAATATATTTCACATCTTAAAATGTTAATACAGTTGAAGGCTATCGAAGAATTTTTGAGAATTTTAGTGATTGTGTTCTCTGCTGTCAACCATTAATATATTTTAATGGTTTATGTAAAAATATGTTTACTTTGCAATAAAGTAGTAACATGTATGCTACCAATTTTTTTTTTTTTTCAAAACCAAATCACTAGGTATAATAATAATGGAAATGGTAACAATAGTTTAGACTGATTTTGTTGTTGTTGTTGTTTCCCATTGATATTATTCATGTGATCAAACTTAAATTTTACAAACAATCTGTTTTAAAAACACTATATATATATAAACTATGAGATGGAAAAGATGGAAGTAAAAATATGGATTTTCTTTTTAGTGTCAAACTTTCAATTTCAGACTTTTTTTTCCAAATAAACTAATGAAATTAATGTAAAATTAATGTAACAAAAAGATTTTAAATAATGTTGAAAACATCAGAATGTTGGTTTTGTTTTTGTTTTTTGTTTTTTTTTGTTTGTTTGTTTTTTAATTTAGAACTATTGAATTTGAATGGGAATTATTTAAATTATTATTTTCTATTACGACTCCACGCAGCAATACAAAATAATCATCAAAACTATAAACAAATTGAAGGAGTAAAAAAAAAAAAAAAAAAAAGACCTCTGAAGACCTGTGTGCACTCTGATAAACTTTTTTCAACTTTCTTTCATAAAACAATAGAATGGTAGCTTATTTAGTGTTTCCACATCTTACTGAACACTCAAACATGTTGGCATAGGACACAGAACCTGAAAAAAAAACACACATGTATGATGTTATAGGAAGAACAAAATATATCAGAAATACATTAAAGTCACAGTTTCCATTTGCTTATAGCTCTTACCTTATATATAATATTATTATTAGATATATATTTCTATATAATGTATATATATATATGATTTTATATATAATATATAAATATTTCATTTATCTTAGGAATTAAAAAGATGTGAGAGAACACTTCCAACAATAATTATTCATTCCATTCACCAAAATTTCTTACTGGTTCCACACCATGGTTGAGTCTGGCTGGGTGAGGAAAGTGCAGAAATGAAAAGCCCAAAATATTTTTAATGTTATGTAACTTGATTCACCGACGTCCCACTTTAGCTATAAAGAAGCTACCATGCTTCAGAGTAAATGAAAACAAGAAACAGAAACAAGGGGAGAGAAATCTGGGCATGAAGTAAATTCCTAAATATTGTTTTAAAGGCAAACAGGTGAAGTCTCTAAACACTGTAAAGAAATTCCATGCAGACATGATAACTGCTCTCCTTTTCTGTGAGTAACTCTAGAAATGTACTCATTTTTAAAGTGTGGTATTGTTTTCTTCCTTGAAGAAACTGTAATATTCTTTCTTGATGGCATCTTAATATTGTTTAGATAGAAAATAACTCATATAAAATAAAAAAAAATTCTTTCTTATTTCTTGTAGGGAAAGAATGCTGGTTGTCCTTTAATATCTTTTCTAGGTGTTGAAAGCTATGGATGTACAGTTGGTAACACAGGCAACACTTTTAATGTAAATAAATATCCAAAAAATATTTAATGGCTTTATATAGGTCTTCACCTTTCACAAATGGAAACAGCTTCATTGTTTATGAACACCATGGTTTTTAAACATTATTTGGAACCAGAAATTTATTATAAATATATACAAATATATAAACATATATATGCATATATGTAAAAATATATAACTCTGAACATTTCAATGACACTTTTCCTTGAGCAAAACACCAGTAGTCATTTAGATGACATTTGATATGTAGGTGAGTTTTGGCAGATTGAGATAATTTATTATCATAATAATGCCAATAATTATTATTGGCAAATTGGGATAGCATAGAATTTAGAACCTTCTTTAAAGAAGATTTAACCTTTGAACCAAGGCAACAACCCCCCTTTCCCTTACAGAACTAATGCTCTGTGCATGCAAACCTAAAGTATCATTCTGTTTTGACTGGTATCATTATAATGCTGAAATGCAGTCCTCTGATGCATGGTCCACTTGTATTCTGCTCTGGTGAGGCCTCATCTTGAGTACAGTGTTCAGTTTTAGGCTCCTTACTACAAAAAGGTAATTGAGGCCCTGGAACATGTCCAGAGAAGGGCAACAAAACTGGTGAAGGGTCTGGTACACAAGTCCTATGAGGAACAGCTGAGGGAACTGGGGTTGTTTAGTCTGGAGAAGAGAAGGCTCAGGGGAAACCTTATTGTTCTCTAAAACTGCCTGAAATCAAGTGGCAGGGAGCTGGGGGTCAGCCTCTTCTCACAGATAACCAGAGATAGTACTAGAAGGAATGGCCTCAAGTTTCACTAGGGGAGGTTCCATTTGGAAATTACGACACATTTCTTCTCAGACAGAGTAGTCAGGCATTGGAATGGGTTGCCCAGGAAGTAGTGGAGTCACTGTCCCTGGGGGTGTTCCAAAGTTACCCAAGAACTGACACAAAGTTACTTTCATCAAGCTATAGGTTTTATTATTATTGGGATTGGTGCTTAGGGACACCATTTAGTGGGTGATATTGGTAGTAAGGGGATGGTTGGACCAGATGATCTTGGAGGTCTTTTTCAAACTTAATTATTCTATGATTCTATGACACCTATATGGGTGTAGGGAATGGAACATGAATGGCTATAGGGCCATAGAAGAATAAAAGACTTGAAGATGAATGCCATTAGTAAAAGTATCTGAGATGTTATTTGAAATATCTAGATTACCTTAGCCTATTTTGACATAATTTTTAAAACACAGTTTTAAAAATTTTCCTTCACTCCCTATTTAGTAATGAAACTTAGAAAATGTAATCATTGATTTTCTTCAACATCCCACTTTAGGAGAATCTTGTAGCAATTAGTAAATTTACATAAGAGTCTGTTTTGATTTTGTAATCCCATTACAGGAGACATTCCTTTTTATATTCTCTTATCTTTCATATTTCTTCATGCATAGCACAGTGTCATACTGTGCACTGAAAGATAATAGGTAAACTATAATTATATTTCAGAATTTAATTTTTGGCAACAAATGCTTCTTAAAGCTACATTTTGTCATGCTGTTAAATATATCTGAATAAAGTCCTTGGAAAACACTCGTGAGAGAAACTGATTAAAAACATAATTTTCCAAACACTGGAATCAAAATTAAAAAGGAAAACTGGTACACAGCATGTTTATTTTTATAGCATTTCTAAGCATAAAACAAATATGTCACATGTAGCTTCTGTCATAATCTTTCTGTATCTCTGAGCAGGATGTATTGTAAACAATGAACATAACAAGCAGATATTAGAAACAGTATCTGCATTTTATTGAATAATATTCAGCAACTGCTGCAGGCTACATGACTGGTAATTTTATGTCTATCACATTAAAAATAAAGCAATGTGGTCACTGTAAAAAGTGAGTAGTATTAGCTACTAAGTTTTATCCCATTTATTCATGCTATTACCTGAATTTTGAAATATTGAATATTGAAAATTGCCATAACTATGATAATTGCCTGGCATCTGTTAGCAAATGTTGACTTTACTAATAGTAACTATTAAAACAAACAAACAGACGTCTGTTGTCCTCCTTGATTAATAATGCTATCAGTACAAAGTGAATGCAACGCAAATGGAAAATGCTACTAAAACTGAAAGTTAGTGGTTTATGTTTACCTTTCAGTTATTTGCAATAGTACAACACAAATGGCGCATGATAACATATAAAGATGAACTAAACTTACTTAGCCATATTTTAATTCTCTCTAAACTCTGTGTGACCAACCTTCCCTTCCCAGTCTGTATGAACTGCATGCTAAAACTTTCCCTCTACCAAAAGCTGTAGTACCTTAACAGACGGGACAGTTTTAGAAGTATCTGGGAAATAAATGAACCTCCTCCTTCTTTACTGACACATTGGTAAGGAACCTGGGCTGGGCACAAAACTGGATTTTTAACTGAGCCCAACAATATTAGTTCCAGCAGTTCTTTCTAACTAACTTAAGTTAAGGATATGTAAGGATATGTAAGGATGAGTAAGTAAGTAAGCCTGTAAGTAAGGATATGGGCTGCACAACCTCCCTGCTGTTTATCCACATATGCCTCTAGCAGCACAGGTAGGCCATATCATTCCTTCTTCACAATCTTCGTTACCCAAGAATTGACACAAAGTTACTTTCATCAAGCTATAGGTTTTATTATTATTGTCATTATTCTTATGTGTGTTTTGTTCTGTGTTTCTAATTCAGCTAATTTTAAATGCTATGCTATACTCACTCTCCTGAAAGTTACATGCACAGAACCAAACAAGAAACAAATCTTCTAATCTTCAATCTAATATGTTGTGTAGAGTTAGTTGATTCAAAAAGGAAGTGCAAACAAACAACAATTCCCAGTACTGTTTTATTTGCATGTTAGGAGTCTGAGAATAAGAGATATTTATGATAGAATCTTAAAATAACTTAAGTTGGAAAGGACCTCCAGAAGCTATCTGGTCTGGTCACCTGATTAAACAGGTCTAATCCAAACAGGTTATTCAGATTTGTGTCCAGGTCAGACCTGAAGAATTCCAGAGTTGAAGACACACCCTGTCTAGGCCCCTGTGACAATATTTGATCACGTTCATGTAAGTAAGTAAGTAAATAAATAAATAAATATTAGTGCAATTGAAATTTTCCATGTTTCAATTTGTACCCACTGCTTTTTATCCTATGGTTTGACATTCCAATAAGAGTCTGTTCTGATCCTGTCTGTATACATGGATGCTGACAGTAATAAAGACTACCCAGAGCAGTCTCTCTTCCAGGCCAAACTTCTACAGCTCTCTCAGACTCTACTTGCAAGACATATACTTGTCTTGGTATCCCTCAGCTGAGCTCACTCAGCTGAAGAAGCTGTGTCTTGTGTTGTTTTCTTGCTTGTGGTGGGGAGCCCAAAACTGGAGGGATCTCTAGAGATAACATTCTCAAATGAAATATGATATGCATTAATTTAATAAATCAAATTTATGGAACTAAAAATAATCTTGAAATACCTTCAGTTTGGATTTGAAAAGCATAATGTTTCCAGTATTGTAGATGTCAAAGCAATTTCATTTGCTTATTCAGTTTCAATTTTGGCACAGTTAGCAGACTGGAGTCTTGTATGTTTAGAACTCAACTATAGTAAAAGGAACAAACAACTTGTTAAGCAAAGAGAATTCAAGGGTAAACAAGGTTTTATAAGGCAAGAAATGTTTTAAAATTATTACCAAACCTGCACGGATAACAACAGAGTGAGCTAAAAAGCTAGAAAATCAAAATTAATTGAGTGTGTAGAAAATAAATTGTTCTTAATGGCACTATGAGACCATTAAGTAATGTATAATAAAAGATGGTCCTGATCTAGTGATATGACTATATGTTGTGTTTAGACATATGAAAAGATATATTTATATCTTTTTATCTATTTTTTATTTCTATTTTTATCTATTTATATGGCTAAAGATTAATATGTTGTTTCATTGTGATCCATCAAAGCAATTTAAGTCATAAAAGAGATAGCAGGAAACTAACTAGGCAAATATATCAATTAGTGTTAAAACTATTATATGCTACTGTTCCTTATCCTAGCAGGTATTTTTTTTTCCTTTTTTTTTTTTTTTCTTTTTTGTCCTTGTCATCAGAAGGTTCCTATTCCTGTGTATAGTTAATTCATCACTAATTAGAAACTCTTTGATAGTAGTGCTAACATGAGTGGAATAATTTCATTTCATTTAGTCTTGTTCTTAATTTATCTATTCCAACTAGTACTACTGGACTTAGAATAGAAATAGAACGAACTTAGGATAACACTAGAGTTTCTATATCTTGAAAAGCTGAGTAAATCAGCATTTTTTCTGGACAGAAATGAAAACCTGGATTACCTAGTCAATCCAGAGCACCTAAAGACAGCACACAGATAACAAACGACAGAACCCCGGGACTCCTTGGTGCCTTTTGCAACATAGCATAGAAAAGCAAAAATACAAACTCTCAGTATATGCCAAGATTTAAACCATTTTGAATCACTGCTCAAGAAAAATCACCTCCACTGGTGACCTCTAGAATTGGTCAGGGAATCCTGTTGAGAAAAGATGGGACCTGAAAATGTTCATCATTTTACTGCAGATTGCAGTAAAATTGCAGTAATTTCAGTTATTTTAAATAATTATTTTCTTCAGGAGGATTGCCCAAAAATAAGGTAGTAAAAACAGGTCAGATGATTAAAATGCTTTGACATTCCAAAGAAAATTAAGACAGTAAAATAAAATGCACTTTCACTAGCCATACTGAATTTAAACAAATGAACAACTAAAACAACAACAAAACCAACACATTTGCATTATTTCCATAATACAAGTAGCATGAAATAGCTTAACTAAGCTAAACATTCTGTTACCTACCAAACATGTCATTCAAATTTTATGTTGAAATAGTAATACCATGTCAAGTAGTAATGAAATGGAAACTTTTCTTTTTGAGTTTAAGAAAAGTAACAATTAAATTGAATACAATTGAACTGTGGGAGCAAAGGGAAGAATAAACTGTGGATGTTGAACAAAGTGAAAGATAATACTATAGATCTGGCAAAGAACAGGTCCATGGAACTCAAGATTATGGGAGGTTTTTGACCTTACCTAACCTAGCATTGGTTTGGAATGATATATTAATTGTAATTTCTCAGAAAAACAAAACAAACCTGCAACATGAGGAGAGTTCAGAAAGAGACACAGCAAAAAATAAGTCTATCCCCCCCCCAAAAAAAAAAAAAAAAAAGTTTATATATGTATGTAAGTAGAGATCCTTAGAGAAGGAAAACATTACACCTCCTCTATTGTTCTCTGTGTGATATCTCAGAGTAAGATTAGAACTGTAAGAAAAAATCTTGTTGGTGCACAGAAAAATTCAAATCAGCAGTTCAGGTGAAGCTATAAGGTTTGTCCATTTTGGGCTTAAATTCTAAAGTTAGCACTGTAGATAACATGCAGGTACCTCCAAAATAGTTTTACTTTCGTCAGTGATTACAAAACAGTTAAACAAAGGATGGCCCATAATGGAAGGTTCTGTAGAGAAAAATCTGTGAAAACAGAAAAAGGTCTGATTTATAAAGGTCATTTAGATTTAAATGCTTTAAATAAATAGATTAGCATAAATGGATTAGTTAGCCAAGTTATGTACACTATGTTGAAGATATATAAGCATTGTACTTGTTCCTAAATGGTCTCCATAAGTAATGCAGAAAATATTTTTCTCTGGGTCAGTTAACTAATGAAATATGTTTCCATTCTTGGGTACCAAATAATTTTGATTTGGCTGTTATATGAATTTTGGGTCTGTATGTGCATAAGTGCATATGTCTGCTTCTATGTGGTGGTTTTATATTTATATAATCTATAAATATATATAATTTATATATATATATATATATCTTTATATAATACATTCTTCTCCAATTATCGCTATCTTGGTCTGCTGATGTTTTCTAACAGATAACAAAACAAAAGTCTATAAATTAATGAGAACATCTTTAGCAATTCATTTTTATGACTCTTTCAATTAGAATGATTCCTCTGGATAGCTGGGAATATCCAACTTCTTACACGTATTGGATTTTTTTATATATATATCACTCACTAATAATATGATAATATAATATAAAAGGATGAGATGTTTCAAAAAATTATACATAAGAATTAAGAATGATTTCTGGGTACCTCAAAATATTCTACAGAAAAGGAGCAGCGTTCCCAAGAAGTTACTCAAGAAGTTAATAAGATTGAGACCAAAAAACTGAATACTGTAGCAAAGTTTTCCAAATGCAAGAACATATTTAGCAGACAATCTTAAAGCAATACATTGTCTGTGTATCCAGTTTTCATTTTATGTTTCCTATGCCATTTACTTTGACCTTGTAACTAGTAATAATACATGTAAATGCCACAGTCTACTTTGACTGCATCATATTTAGGGATATAATTGCTGAGAGCACTTCTCAGAATCATGTTACTAGTCCATCATATAGTCCATACTGTTATGACTGTTATGTTATTAGAGATGAGAATTAAATCAGATGCTTGAGCACAGTTAAACCTTTGTCTCATGACAACACAAGCTGAAGATATTGTACTACAGTGTTGAAACCTTGTATGTGCATAGAGCTTCATGGTGAGTGGACACAGCATGTAGGAGACAATAATGTGACATTGTGCAAGAATATAAACGCTTTTACATCAGTGATGATGCTTTTAAAGTTTACTAGTTACATTTCTGCATAATATTCCTCTGTTTTTTTTTTTAATCATATATTATTAGTGTGCCTCTTTCTGATGATATGTTACAGTGATAAATCATCAGTGTGCTGAAGCTCTGATGAGCTGTTCCTTCAGCATGCCATTGGAGCTGTCATGTAAATGATGTATTAGTAAGGCATAATGATGGTATGTTATGCAAAAGATGTCACTGCCCAGAAAACCAAAGGTTTAAGAATGGATTCAATATAATTACTAAATAAAAAGTCAGTCAGCATACAGATTACTAGGGGCTGGTTTCCCCGCTACACTATAACATCTTATTTTTCCAAACTATTCCTAGCATTATGCATTTACAACCCTATTTTTCAGGAAAGAAGCTGGGATAAAACAATTAAAATTAAAACACCTGCTTACTTTATAACTTTTACCAAGTAAGAGTGTGTTTTTTTTTGTTTGTTTGTTTCTTTGTTTGTTTGTTTTTGTTTTTTAAGTTCAGTATACAAACAGGGCAAAAGAGAAAATATAAAAGTACATACATTTATTCTGTGACGTAAGTAAATGAAGGAGTAAAATGTTGCTTTTATAAATACGAATTTTATGTATGTATTTAACATTGTCCATGAGCAACCATGAAATCTGTAACTATGACTTTAAAGTTAGGTTCATAATCTAGGTAATAAGAAATTTTATTTTAAATGATCACATTTCCAGCCCAGTTTTTTATTTTAATATAGATGGAATAAAAGAAAACATTGTAAATAACAGCAAAACAAATCAGTTGTCTGATAAAAATAAGTATTTTGCTGAATATTAATTTGTGATTACAGATTGAATGCCAAAGAATTTTCCAGTTTTAAACTTTTTATTTGTTTGTTTATTTTTACATTTCAAAAAATATTTGGATACCAGATTACTTTGAATCCTAAAGACTTTGAAATACATTGCAATAAACCTTACTACAAGAATCATACCTCTGTAGCAGTAACACTAGTTTCCAAAATCATTAATCTTGAAAATTAGGCATAATTTCAAACAGTTTTAGCTCATAGAATCATAGAATCATAGAATCATAGAATATCCCGAGTTGGAAGGGACCCACAAGGATCATTGAGTCCAACTCCTGGCACCACACAGGTCTACCCAAAATTTCAGACCATGGGACTAAGTGCACAGTCCAAACGCTTCTTAAACTCCAACAGGCTTGGTGCAGTGACCGCTTCACTGGGGAGCCCGTTCCAGTATGCCACAACCCTCTCAGTGAAAAACCTCTTCCTGATGTCTAGCCTAAACCTCCCCTGCCTCAGCTTGACACCATTCCCGTGGGTCCTATCACTGGTGACTAAAGAGAATACATAGGTGCCTGCCCCTCCACTCCACCTCATGAGGAAGCTGTAGACCACAATGAGGTCTCCCCTCAGCCTCCTCTTTTCCAGGCTGAACAGGCCAGGTGACCTCAGCTGCACCTCTTACGTCTTCCCCTCTAGGCCCTTCACCATCTTTGTAGCCCTTCTCTGGACACTCTCCAACAGTTTTTCATCCTTTTTGTACTGCGGTGCCCAAAACTGCACACAGTACTCGAGGTGAGGCTGCTCCAGTGCAGAGTGAGACAATCACTTCTCTTGACCAACTAGCAATGCTGTGCTTGATGCACCCCAGGACACGGTTGGCCCTCCTGGCTGCCAGGACACACTGCTGGTTCATATTCAACTTGCTGTCAACCACAACCCCCAGATCCCTCTCCATGGGGTTACTCTCCAGCATCTTATCACTCAGTCTGTACGTATACAGAGGTACAGACTGAGTGATGACAGACTGGGTTGCCCTGTCCCAGGTGCAGGACCCAGCACTTGCTCCTGTTAAACTTCTTGCGGTTTGTGATTGCCCAGCT